CTACATGTGCTACAGTTGGCACACAGACAAAGGTTATATCAAAGCATCTGCTCACACACTAACAGCCACCAGTATTTCTCTGCCTACAAAGGAGTCTTTCAGTAACTCAGCTCCCACCAGAGCACAAAGCCCCATGCAAAACTCCAACACCACACTTGCACTCCCCACCAAAGCCAGGGGAGCAGACTAGCCGATGTTACAGCTGGATCATTAATATATACATATATATTTCTTAAGGGTGCTTGAAAGCTCAATAATGATTGAATAATCATTAGGCTGGACAGAAAATGCAGTTAATTTAAATAGATAATGGAACAGACTTCCTGCTCAAGACCAGCAACAAGGAGAGAAAAGGTTTTCCTCAAGAAAGAAACCAGGAGCATAAAAATGATTACCCTGAAACAAAGCTGAGGCAGGAGAAGCACTGACATATCCAAGCAGATGAAGCTCAAACAAGTGACTTCACATACCTAAGACTGCAACAGAAGCAGCTTCAAAGAATGGCTGTGGCATTTTACATCCATTTTTTTGGTGACCTACATACCTCTAGACAACATTTAAAACATATCAATGATTTCTTGCCAACTAATTACAGCTTGCCATTCCAAAAAGGAAGAAAGTCATGACGGGCTGCAGGACAATGCCTCTCTTGCTCGTCAATTCCAAATCAGAATTTTCTCACCAACTGTTTGCACAAAAATGTGTCCTTTATCCTTTCTCCAGTCAGACATCTTGCAGTCAGTATACTCATTTTAGTCCTATTAATTTGTACTACCTTTTTTTGAGCATCTTCTTATTTCTTTTCACTATTTGCCTCCTCCATCTCTCTTTTTTCCCTTGCTGCAAAAAGATGGCACTTCTTCATACTCCCTCTGCCAAATACCTAAATATACTCTTACTTAGTTTCTCACCATTCAGATTATCTTATTCACTCTCAACTTTCTCCTCTCTCTGCAAACCTCTTAACTGGTCTGAAATTTGTTTTACAGATACAACAGAACTGGTGGTGACTGGGGGGAAGTGTCTCAGAAGAACCAAGCAGACAAGACAAAGTTAAGGCTCCATGGCAGTGGAAGAATGAATCAGTTTTATATATCCTGGATTTGTGCTTTTTTTATTGTTGCTGGTTGGTTTAGGGGCCTAGGGGGCAAGACTACACAGAAGAAAGGGGTTAAGATTAATCACACCCCATACATCCCATTTGGATGAGTTTAGGTATCACTTCTCTTTCATTAATGCATCTCTACCACTGCATCCTTTCAATGATTTCAAGTGCTACAAAAAAGAGTACCTGCACTATGACCCCTTCTATTTGACCTGAAATGGTCAGGTATTTGGACCATATGATTGTCCCAAGTCCCTTCCAACTGAAACAGTCTATTCTATTTTTCTCTCTGCTCATGACAATCTGAATATCCTAATGTTTTGGTTTGGGTTTTTTTTGAAGGAGGACAAAGGAGGGAAGATTATTTACATTTACTCGAGAGCAGCTTCTAGGATGGACTTCATTTAAGACATGGACAAGTTACTGCAAAATAGGTCAAGATCTGAACTCGTTGCATTTAGCTGCTGTTACCACACTGCCCGTGTTAGACACGAAGCAACTGAGTTGCAAGGAGAGCTGCTTTCCATTTAGCACCCAGGAAGTTTCAACAGAGTGGCTGAGAAGCTGCAAGATCACAACCCTGTTTCACCCTGCAGCAGCTGATAGCTCTGTTTGTGTATTTAGACACCACATCTCACCTTCCCCAACCATAAGAACAGGATAATAGATCTTTCTGACTTCACAACAATGCTTAGGAATAGGTATCTCAGAGATAGTGAGGGAAGTGGATGCTACAGGTTGTATAAATATGACATTATTCCATAAAACTGACATTAAAGGGAGGGAGAGGGGATGGAGCTGAAAGGTCCTCAAAATTCCCTTAAACACAGCTCTCAGCCCACATTATCACAGTGTCCTGACCCTCTGCTACACTAAAACTGTGATTCCTCTGACAGGGCTTCACCACCACTCAACACTGCTCTTGTAAAGGTCATTCTTCTAAATCACACTCTTTCCCACTGAATACTCTGCAGGAAAACATCCTGCTCCTTCCCTGGTCAACATCCTGGTCTGTTCCTGGCCCTCCTTGCTCCTCAGCCTGAAGATGAGCCATGAAGGAGAGGGTACACCTCTGGCTTATGAGAAGTGTCCACACAAGCGGGAAACAGAGGAAAATGAAGAGCAAAACAAATGTCGGTTTCCCTCTGGATCTCACATAGAGATTTCTAGGCACCCTTTTCAAAAAATCAAACCAAAACAAACCCCCACAACAACAAAAGACACCAACCAAAACAAACAAATAAAAAAGAAAAAAAAATAAAAATAGAGGCACGTTCAGCCGAATGCAACAATCCCAGAACAGGAAACTGCCACAATAATAAAGACAGCCCAGGAGGGTGATCCCACCAACCTGCCAGAGGAGTCCTAGCACAAAAGAGCTCTTATACAAGGGCATATAATCCATATGAGTGTACAGTTCCTGATATTCCAAGCCATATGTGAGGGAAAAATACATTAAAAAAAAAATTAAAAAAAACAAAAATCATAAAGCTTCCAGACTCCTATCACTCTACTCTGATTATTCATTTCTCATCATAATTTCACCATAATTTTCCATTTCTCCTCCTAATTCCCCATTAGCTATGGATCCTCCTACTTTATTTTTCTGCTCTCTTCTGAGCAATCCAGGACACTTACACTTCTTCCCTCCTCTCAGCCTACCTTCATCTTGTATGCCTGAACCACATACAACTTTTATAAGCTGAGAACATTTCCCTGCAGAGGAACGAGTAAGATACGTCACAGAGTAAGTTTCCTGCACATTTTTGTATCTGTTAGAGAAAAAAACATGAAAATTCACATTCACTAACTCTTCTTAATAGAAGCTGGTATTTAGCTATTAAAAGCTTCACATAAAATTACTAACAAAAGCACTCAGTCATTCACTTTTCATATCTCCATTTGACGTTAGCTTATGCTTAAGAAACCAGTTTGATCTCCAGCATCAAGACAACTTCTGCCTCTCCAACAGTGAATCTGTGAATACAATTTTGCCAATAAATTGTCAATGACACTGCCACTGATACAACCAGCTGCTGAAAACCCCTCATGTTCTCAACTTGCTACACATTTGTTTCAGTTTCTTCACTCACAAGCCTCAGCACATGTCATACTTCAGATCTAAAAGGTGAAGTTACATGCCCCATGATCTCCTTACCATGAAAGGTAAACTTGGATAAACTGAGACATCATGAAGATGCTCTGAGTCAGAGCCCAGAAAGAAGGAAAAAGAGAAATATAAGAACTAGTTGATTTCATAAAAGTACTGCAGAAAAGAAGAAAGGCAAAAGTCAAATATCCTTTCTACTTGAAACACTCACTGCATGGCGTTCAGCTCTCCTACATGACAAACTCTCCAGATAACTTAAGCAAGTGTAACAATTTCTTTCAGCACTGGCCTTTAAGACAGAGCACATGACTAAGTCTTGACTGCAACTAAGATGATGCTCTGTCACAAGAAATTTGAGAGTTAAAACACTTCTCTCCGGAAATTTATTTTGTTACAGTTTATCAGGAAACTTTTGCAATAATGTGATGGTTTGGGCTGCAGTAATATTGATTTTCTCCATAGCAGTATGGGTTATATTTTGGATACATGCTCAAAACAGTGCTGTTAGTACAGAAGTTTTCCTTCCTGCTGAGCAAGAATCAAGGCTTTCTCTGCTCCTCCTAAGGCTCCACATGCACAGCTGAGAGTGACCCCAAGTGACCTAAGGGATATCCCAGACCCTATGAAATCAGCATATAAAATGGGGAAAGAAGAAGGCAGAGCAGGATTTTCCTCTCCTGCACCCTTTTCATTCTCTCCCCCATGAGCCCGGGCAGGAGCCAGCTGTGTATTGCTTGGTTGCAGGAGAGGGTTAAATGAGGACAATAAATTTAGCAGGCACCTTCTCTATCAATAGATTTAGCTTCTGGAGAAATGGTAACAGCAAATGCTCCCTCATTAACTCATCCCAGTGATAAGCAAGTTCATTTCAACAAATCACAAAACGGGTATTCCAAATTTGAAGCTTTGACATTAAATCAATGTTTTCTTGATTTGGCTTATTCAAGTAAGAAACAGAAAGAGCCATCAAGGAGAAAAATGGTTGTAATCAGATACACAACTAGTTAGATAAAGAATCAAGCAGTAACAGAAAAGTCTCGTTAGCTCAAATTTATGGGTCAAGGACTGCCTTAATAGTTAGATGCAAATTCACGAGGAAAAGGTACGTAGTTTAAAAAAAAAAAAAAAGTGAACCACCGTGCTTATAGCAGTGTGAGGGAGGGAAGGAGAAAGCAGAATTAGAAATTAATTTTAACAGGAGGCAGTGGTTTACGATCAGCCTGATCGCCGTATGGTGCCAGACACAAAGGTAGAAGGGAGGCTGAAAGAAACCCTCGGCCGCGGTTTCAGCCCCCGCCGCCACCCCCCCGCTCGGTGTTTCTATAGTTACGCTCAGCAACAGGGCCGGCACAAAACTTGCAATGGCGATATCCCGAAAGGCACACAGCTACCCGCGGAACAGCGGCAATCCGTGAGCTCCCAGATCCACATCGCTCTCACCCCTCCATCCCTCAGGCTGCAGGCTCAGCCCATGCCCGAGGGCGGTGAGGAACAAGCGCACGCCTGCGGCGGGGAGCGCGGAGCGCAGCAAGGCCCCGGCCCGGAGCCCCCGCCATTCCCACCCCGCCGGAAGCGCCTCCATGCCTGGGAAGCGGGCAGAGGGCCCCGACCCCGGAAAGGCCTCGTG